TATTGGACAGGTATCCTTAGCACCCGGCTGTCCAGGCCTGTCGGTGACCGGGGTGTCATCTCTAAGCTCCGAAATTCATCATACCATATGTCTTTACGCATCAGTCATCGAAGAAAAACTTGAAAGTTTTTATGGTTCTTACCAGGATTGAACCCGCGTCCTTGTTCATGCTCGTGTTTCCAAGCCTACATCTTACCCATTAGGCCACCCCGGCGTAAAGAAAATAAAAGTTTGAGTATAATAGTTCGAATATAATAATTCCTGAAATATTATTATTATTGATTATGGGATTTTTTTAGATTTTGGAAAATAAATACAATCTCAAAACGAACCTTTGTAAATTTTTTCTTAAAACCCTTAACCATCATAAATAACGGTTTGGGTCCCTGATTAAAATACACTAGAATTTTTTTTTTTATAAAACAATATAATTTGAACCGAGAGAGGGCGCCAACTTCAATGTTAATGTATTTGTTTATTTTTTATTACTATTCTTATCAAGGATAAGAAATTTGGACATATCGATTTATAAATTAGATCTTAATCTTATCTACCCTTCTACGTTGGTCACAGATGCCCAAAGAGCGGACGTGAATTATATGGAGGCTCACCATACATATAATTATATCGATTATATTTTTTTTTCCTCAAAGGATACCAACAAGCCTTGTAATCCAGATGTATAGTTATCAAAAATGAGTGAGTGGAGCTGTGCTTATCCAATTATAGTATTAGAGGTGAGGTATGGTTATGACGTTGTGTTGTTAAACGGCTAACTCAATATTTTTGCAAAGAAATGTTTCCCAAGGCTCCAGATTTCGCTAATAGATGTCTAGACCAATGCGCCATCTACGAGCTAAATCTTCAGGCTTGAGTAATATTTTTTCTGGATCACATAACAATTCATTATCCCCTGATAACCCGTTGAATTAGCGGTTTTGAAAAAATCGGCTCAAATTGAGCCGTTTAACAACACTATTATGAGTGTGAGGGAGAAAAAAAAGGCAAGAAAAAACAAATAAATATTATTTCTTCTTTCCAAATATACAAATTTATTTATTAAAATCAAATTATTTTTTTCGTTTAAGGGGGATTTGTTATTAAGTACTTTTGTAATGAGTATAAGAACATATAATTTAAAACCAGCTAACTCAGTATTTTATTAGGAAAAAAATATTATGCAAGTCTCATGATTTTGCTCAGAGGTGGACTCAAAAATATTTTTTCTGGCTAAAATATTGAGTTAGCCGTTCCTTTAACAACACTGCGTTATGGAATATTCTTACGTAATATTATGATTTGACTTGTTTAATCGAAAAAGATTTATTCTTTAGATCCATTTTAAAAAAAATATTTATAAAAATTATTTGATTATTATTTTTTCACTTTGTTTTTATTAAACTTAAAAAAAAAGAATTTTCGACATGATGGGAGGAAGAGGAAGTGGCACAGTGGATTAAAGTCCAAAAATGTGAACTTAGAGCCAATCGGAAAACTTTGATTCTGCTTTTTGAACATTTTGGGTATAATTAATTTTATCGATCTTCCTGTAAAAAAATAAGAAAAATTTTCGTACTTGTAGTTATAGAAAGTAGAGACTATAGTGGGGGTGCACGGATCTTGTAAGTTTCGTTTAATTTTTGCTAATTTAACCTTTCATAGAAATCTGCGACAAATCGACTGACTGTCAGTTATGAATGTCGCGCATTTTAATTTAAATTAGGATGAAGCGGAAGAGCTGATATGTTCTTTATTTAATTTTTTTTTTTTACTAACTCGGATAACAAAATTAATATTTTATTTTAATATTAATAAATAAATTGAGGATTTTGACAATTGACCCGTATTATTGAATCAAATCATAAATTAAAAGATGTTGTTTTATAATTAATTTGTGGTGGGTCTGTATGCCGCCATCAAATTTAGCGTATCATACAATTCTTCGGGTATTTCTAAAATCCAAAATAATGCACATTGGCTGGGCGCTAAATATGAACGGTGAAGAGTAGTGTCGTTAAAAAAACCGATTCGAATCGGTTTTAAAAACCGGCCCGATTAAGATAATAACCAAAATAACATTATGTAAACCTAAAGATTTTGCTCATATCTGGCAGAACTGCTTGGACATCTATATTAGCGATCTGCATCGGGCCTAATTTTTCAAACCCGGCCCGGCCCGAAATTTTTTTTTAAAAAATTTTCCCGGCCCGCGAATTTATTCGAGTATAGAAATTAATTTTTATAACTCAAAATCAACGATATATGTTATTTAGCGTCTACTTTCTATAAATACACATATTTTTATTTTACATAAAAAATTCAACCATAAAATTGATAAATTTAGATATATTTTTAAAAAAATTCTAAGGCTCGAACTGACCCGGCCCAAAGCCCGTTAGGGCCGGGCCGGTTTTGGGCCGGACCTCCTTTTGCAGATCTCTAATCTATATGCCAAATTTCGATGCTTACATATTATTATTTTAGCTAACATCTTAATCGGACTATCTTAAAAAATCGGCCCAAAACGGGCTATTTTATTTAACAACACTAGTGGAAGAGAGACATCATTGAAAAAGACCTATTTTTGATTTGTATAGTTTAGTTCCAACCATAAATAAAACCTTTCATAAAATTAAATTCATAATCAAAAAAAAATTTAATCATTTTTAAAATGCGATGATGTTTTATTAAGATAAGGTATTTTTTTTAATTATGGAAAAAATATAAATCAGATTATTTCTTTAAAGGCGATGACGTTGATAGTCTTGGGAGGTCTTATTCTAAGAAAGAAAGAAAGAAAGAAAGAAAGAAACTTAAAAAGATACTTTTTATATTTTGAGAAAAAGATACTTTTTATATTTAGAGTAAGTTATAAATATCGGAGACATGCAGAGGTATAATATGGCACGTCATGATCCGGATTTTTTTTTTCAAAATTTTTTTTCGGCCCGGCCCGGTTTTTAGATTTTCGCACTTGGCCGGATTTTTTAAGAATATACTATATTTATTTTTTGATTTTTATAGCCAATAAATGGCGATTTCAAATATTCGGTTTTAAAATATAAGGCGCGGCTGGGCCTGTAGTTCTCTGATAAATATTGAGATAATTATAAAAAAAAAATATTTAAAATACCAATTCTAATTCTTTCAAAAATTGCTATTATTGATTATGATTGTTGTAATAAAAAAAATTATATTAAAATAGATATTTGGTGTTAGCTATGAATCTGGTTTTTTTTTACAATTTATTTTATCATAGTATTAAATTATATATATATAAAAAAAAATTTAATAGCAAAACAATTATTATTTTTAAAGATCAATCAATCATTATTAAAATTATATATGAAAGGTTTCCAATGCCAAATTTTTAATTTCTTCCAAAGGATATTTTATTATGTTAAAATAGCAATTAAAATATACGTAACATTTAACATATGATACTGTATTATTATTTTATTGAATATAATCCAAATGTGTCGGATTTCTCAAATCCGCTGGCACATAATTGGATAGAAAATTGATGTTGAACAAAAAGGGGGGATGGAGTTAATCCTTTTTCCAATTTTTTTTTTAAAGAATTTTTATTGTGGGATTAACATTATTGTGGAGAATAAACATACAAGAAAATCGATGATCATAATTTCAATTAAATCTCAAAGGGCATTATGGTTTAAATTTTACATCATATTTTTTTATATTCAAATATACTTATTAACAATTAAAAACTATACACCATATACTATTAAAAAGAAACTAAACCCTAACAAGATTATATTAAGGGAGTGATACACTATTATTGAAAACATAATTGAGCCACTTTTATCTTAAAATCATTGGCTTCCAAAGTGTGGATTCGTATTTTATTGACCAGTTTTTTTTTAAATGGAAGGTTTTAGGGGCAAAATGGTCATTGGTGGATGTGGCAATTGGAGTAAAAAATAAGGTTATCAAATATTTTGTATTTGTTTATCCTTTTGTGTTTCGGCTTGGGGTGAATGCACTGCTATTGGTATTTGTGTGGAAAGTGGCAACACAGGTATAATCCCAGTTGAGAAATTTACTCATAGCATATGGGACAGTTCTGAGATTATCTTTGAGGTTCTAAAAATATAAGGGATTCGGGATTTTTTTTAGGAATAGACTAACAAGTTTATTTATTGATGAATGGTTCTGTTAAAGACCCTGGCTTTGTACAATTTAAACCAATGAGATGTCAAAAATATTTTAGAGGAAATAAAGTCTGAGAACATTTTTTTTTTAAATTTCATATACATGTTCTTGGATTTATATTTTATTTCAACATACCTCTTATTTTAACCCCCTTTCTGGAAGGTGTCCAGAAAAAAAATAACTATAAAATTTAATAATATTATCATTTACAAAAGTAAAATAAATGAGAAAAAGAATTAATAAAATCTTCTTTCAAAGGTGTTAAATAATTTTTTTTAAGGGAAAGAAATAGGGTCCATTCATGGTTAAATGTAGGCTAAAAAAAATAATATATTTATAAATCAATTATAATTTTTAATTTGCTAAAATTGAATATTTAATATCAGAAATATCAGTACATCTCTTCATAAAATAAAAATGTAGTTTTAAATACAATAATAGTTGATTCCTTAAAGCTTAAAAATATTTGATGGTTGGTTAGGATACCCTGACAAAATTTTCTCTTGCTTGCAATTACATATGTATAGATATTATTAACAAAATCAAACAACTAATAAAAATTTCCTTTTTCTCACTGAAAACAAGAATTTATATGAGAAAAAAAATTGGAATAATGCTGTTAATATTGATTATATATAAGGTTATACTATGAAATGATATTAAATTGTTCAAACTCTTAACATTTTATAAAAATAATTTAATATTTAAACAAATTATAACCATATCAACAAATATTACAATTTAACACAAATATATGCACCTTTTATTAAAAAAATGTCTACAATATATTTTCACAGCTTTTTTAAAAATCACATACCTTAGAAACATCAATAATTTAATATGTCTCTTTTTTCAATATTCCTCAAGTGCTTCTTTTTCATTTTTTTAATTTTGGTTGTATCTTTGATAATTTGAACAACTTCACCTTTCCGTTCATTTTCTTTCTTCTTCAGAAGATTTAATTCTCTACATTTTCTAGCATCTTCTTTTGATTTTTTTCTTGTTCCTTCGATTTGCTTTTGTATTTCTTTGACTTTGGATAATGCGTATTTATTTTCCATTTTTTGTGACCACTTAGAATGAAATGCTTTCCCTGATCTCATAGTTGAAAATTTAGGTTGAGGGAGACTTTTCTTCCAATTTTTGTTTTTGTAAATTAAGTATTGATTATCTTTGATAATTTTATTTTCTTTATCATTGATCAAGGGTTCGGATTGAATCGTATCACTTATAATTCCGCTTAACGTTGGATTTTTAATTTTTTTCGATTTCTTAGTTTTCATTGTAAAAGGCCCAACACATAAATGTGTAAATTAGATAATTTTATTTTATGTGATATATTCAACCAATAGGGAATGTGAAAAATAAAATAAATTTTAGCCACTGTACTCCGTTAGTATATTCATATTTTTTAAAATTATAACCAGTTCTTGTGTGCAAGTTAGTTATTTAGATTTTAATACACAGTTCACAAGTGATTCTACGCATTAGCGCATCCTAAATTATCTTTTTAGTAATATTACTAAGCGGGAGGGCAGAGGAGCTCGAGCCCCCCATTAAAAAACTCTCTGAAAAATTTGGATTTTATTTAAAAAAGATGTTATTTTGAAAAGTTAGTTTACAAAGTCTTTATGGAAAATTTTTTTTGTGGAACCTGTTGCTGAGATTGTAAAGGATAGTGACTTTTTATAAAATATTTATAATTGACAACATCAATTATCAATTATTCGATTCCTATTACAATAAATAAAATATTATGAAAACGTTTATTAAAATCAAATTTAAAATAATTAGTTGTTATAAAATTAATATTATACAATTAGCGCTCATTTAAAATTTATCACAAACGCTTAATGTTGAAAAATCTCTTTCTTTCTTTTCATTTTTATAAAAAAATAATTTTTCAAACTTTTTAAAATATTTCTCATTATGAATTTTAAATGCTTTTAAATTTAATATCCCTTTTAAAAATTTAAAAAATAATTTGAAGATTGCTAGAGATTGAAGTATGAAATACTTTCCACCAACCTCCCCTTCTACACGAATGACGCTTATGCCTCACCCCCTCCAGAAGGCCCAAAATATAAAATAATCCAATTATAAAATAAATACCGAATATGGTTGTTTATTAATAGGGTAATGAATGACCCTTGGAAATTTCAATGATTCAAATGTCTCACTTCTCCTGTGTCTCTGCTAAGTGATTTTTTCGCGGCCCGACCCTGACCCGAGCCCGAATTCAGTAACCCGACCCGAACCCGACTAAATTTTATTAAAATTTGATTATGTATTATAATATCCGAACAATTAATTATGTGTATTACCTTTAAATAAGCATTTATTTGACCGCCATAATATAATCTATATTCATATTAAATTGTATTTTATTTTAATTAGAAACATATACCTTTTATTCAGTTTAAATAGTAAAAAGGTTGAAATATAAACGAATTTAAAAATTATTGCGATTATATAAAAATAATATGCATGATATAATGAACATATTACAGTGATATATCAATATTATTATTAATAGTATCACATAATAATTGTGAAATATAAATAATGAGGAGTCAAATTTGTCAGGCTTTAAAGAAGTCCTCCTATCTTTAAAGGCATTATCAGCCGCTGGAAGCGCTCTTTCACTGCTAGCCGAGGAAGCAGGGATAGCAAGAGAACTCAAAACACTTAAACTGGGAAAGTCGCTTTGATAAGTCTTTCACCAGTTTAGGATTTGTTAAACGATTTTAAATATTGAAAATTTGAGGCTATTTAATTAAATAGATATAAGATAAATATATTTTAACTAACCTGATAGAATATGAAGTAAATTAAGTTTGTAATAATAGCACAAAAATATAATAAATAACAAAATAGTTTGGTAAACGGGTTTAATGTAAAATAATAATTAAAAATGACGTGTCATTCTAAATGAAATTTTAATGATGAAATGGGTTAGATAAATAAATATCATGTTATTTTGTAGAATAACATGAATATGTGCCGGTGAATAATAAATATGTTATATTAACTTTATTAAATAAAAAATATATTTTATTAACTCCTTTCTTTTTCTTTTCTAAAGGTATATATACATTTTCTAAAATATAAATTAGAATATAAAACGAAATACAAAAAAGTAAAATAATATATAAAAAAGTAAGGTTACGCCGTTTATAAAATAAAATTAGATTATAACAAATAACAAAAAATTAGATTATAAAAATATATAATAAGATTAAGAAATTAGAATAACGCAACATATTTTAATTGACATTATGGATTAAAATGATTATTTAGGATATTTATTTATTGGTCGGGTCGGGTTTCGGGTCGGGTTTCGGGTCGGTCATCTCTTACAACCGATCCGAGCTCGAAAATAAAAAGGTTTTATGTCCAACCCGAGGTCGGGTCAGATCGAGCTACGGACAACGTGCAAACCTTTCCCGTGTTCTCCTAAACGAAATTTAGCTATGATCTTGATTTAAATCGACTTTTGCTAAGTTCACCTTAAATAAATTGGAATTCAAAATATATCCATGTTTTACGATCATAAGATTAGATTAAATAATATAATTTATCATTACATTACTTTCCACACCGAAATAATTTTATTAGAATTTCGTTATAGAAAAATATTGAAAAATTTGAAGATAGCTACAAATAAAAAAACGATATAATTATTTTATTAATAAAGATATGATATACCAAATAAGTGTAAAAATAAATGAGCCAATCAAATTTTGGATGCAAGTGCAGTCATAACAAACAATAAATATAAAAATTCCCCCATATATATATATATTGCCGAAGTATAAAAATATTACAAATAAATCAAAAATTCAAACTATTCACAATTTTACACGTTTGGTTTAAGTTTATAGGACTTTTAAATTATTTTCTCAGTAGTGTAAAATAAATATAATACTTTTTATTACCAATATAATATAAGAAAAGAAATTGATTAGAAAAAAAATTAAAATATTAGATAAAAAATATTCAATTTTTAAAAAAAATATAAAAATGTTTGCACCAAGAGGATTAAATAAAATCTTGTTCCTTTCGATAGCTTTATGGCTATGTTCTAATAAATTTGTTCATTAACAAAGAATGTCTGTATGCAAGGGCAAAGGGTAAGTCTGGTGATATTTTGAGGGAAAATTTATTAATTAAATTGGTAGAAATATCCAGAATCTAAACACTATAATGTTAAAATTTATAGTTATAAAATGATAATTTACGAGTATAATATAATATATGAATAGAGGAGGTGGGTTGGCACACTACGCTTCCTCTGGGTTAAAACTATGCATATTATATTGTATTTATTAGCATCGATATGTATTTTTTTTGTAGAGTATGAAATAAAATCTTAAAAAAGATTTTCTTCTGAAGATTTTTTTGCCCCAAAGATTACGTGTAATTTTACCATTTTTATTTACAAAAAAAAATTACGAGAGATTTACATATATAAATATTTTTCAAGAAATCTGTTTCTAGAATTATAGATAGCCTAAATGAACATTCTTAAAAAAAAGGTCTTTCATTGAACTTCTTTAAAAGTTTTTAACTTTAAATTATTTAATTTAAAATACGATTTTCAAAATTTAAAAATTGAAATTTGGTTTGGAAATAGTGTTGTTAAACGGCTCGTTTTTTTAGCCCATTTTTAAAAACCTGCCAACTCAATAACTCAATAATTAAGCCAGAAAAATATTGGATAAGCCTCAAGATTTCTATAATATATGTCTAGACCTTTGTTCCTTCTATGAGCAAAATCTTCAGGGCTTCTGCATAAAATATTGAGTTAGCCGTGTTTAAAAAATCGCTTAACAACACTAGTTGATAAAATATTTACTAGCATGTGTAGAACTAGAAAAACATACTCTATGATTTTTTTTAAAAAAATATTTTTGCTTATATGAACTTTATGAAAAAATTTAAAATATTATATTTATATTAGTACTACTTCCAATACATAAATTTAAAATAACAAAAATAAAAAAGATTTTAAAAAAACCAAATCAAATTGTCTGAAATTCAGAGGGTAGTTATTCCAATTCCAAGCATGCTGGATTACATTTCCGGTTATATCAGATTTTTAAAAAAAACGCACTCATAAATTTGGGGAAATAAACACATTAAAAATATAAATAATAATACATACTTATAGTAAAGTTTTTGCTGTAGCAATCATAGGACCATGTAGGATTAACATTATGGTAAAACATGAATTTTCGTAATCTAACTTTCTTCTAATTTGATACACATCAAGTATTTCTTCATAGCCTAAAATAAATATTTATTGGTTTCAAAAAATAACTTGAAAAATGTATTTTCTAATCCCAAAAAAAATATTTTCTAATCGAAGCCATTTTATAAGTCATAGAATCTTTACAATTCATAGTGATTAGATTCTAGATATTACTCCCAAATTTAATCCGTATCTATTCCTTTAGAAATTTCTCCAGAGTGTATTATATCTCCCTGGCATACAGAAATTCTTTGTTAATGGCAAATTTATGAGAGCATAGACATAAAGCTATCCAAAAGAACAATATTTTATTCAATCTTCTTGGTGCAAACATCTTTTTTTTTTATTTTTTTGAAAATTGAGAATTTTTTTTCTAATATTTTAATTTTTTTTTTAATCAATTTTTTTTCTTATATTATACTGGTAATAATTAAACGAATTATTATATTTATTTGAATATTTATCGAGAAAATAATTTAAAAGTACTATATAAAACTTAAACCAAAACGTGTAAAATTGTGAATGGTCTAAAATTTTTGTTTTTATTTATTATTATTTTTATACTCAGCAATATATTATATGGGGGAATTTTTATATTTATTGTTGTTATGACTATGTAAACGCATCTAAAATTTGCTTAGCTCATATATTTTTACACTTGGGTATATCATAATCTTTATTAATAAGATAATTATATCGTTTTTCATTTGTAGCTAGCTATCTCTATTTTTTCTTTCAAAATCTTCAAATTTTTCAATATTTTTCGTCTATATGATTCGAATCTGTTCGGAAAGTAATGCAATGATAATCTAATCTTATGATCGTAAAACATGGATATATTTTCGAATTTCAATTTATTTATTTATGGTGAACTTTGCAAAAGTCGATTTAACTCAGAACCATAGTTAATCGTTTAGGAGAACACGGATAAGATGTCTGCACGGGTTTTATATTCGGGCTCGGGCTCGGGTCGGTTGTAAGAGTTATCAGACCCTAAGCCCGACCCGACCCAATAAATAATTATATATC